GCCTTCTTGGGCTGTCCTGGAGCCCTCTAGGGCCGTTTTGGGACGACGACGACGACGACGACGACGACGACGACGGAACTCGGAGAGTCGTTTTGGAACTATCTTGGAAGGCCTTGGAGCGCGCTTGAAGCTGTCCTGCAGGCGTCGGGGCTCCTCATGGGAGCATCTGGACAGTTCGTTCGGAGCTCGTGGCAGGTCTCTTGGGGACCTCCTGGAAGGGTTTTGGAAGCCTCTTTGGGCCCCGTTCGGTGCCTGTTGGGGACCGTTTTGGGGGCTCTTGGGGACCGCTCGGGAGCTTCTTGGGGGGGCTCGTGGCCGCCTCTGGGAGCCTCTTGGTGACCTCCAGGGTGACTTCCAGGGCCTTTCTTGGGGCGTTCTGGTGGCTTTGGGCCGAGGGCCCGAAAAGTCTGCTCGTATCCCCCGTCTGGGCTCTCTTTTAGAGCCGTCTTGGGGCCCTTTTGGGCCGTTTGGGACGCCTCTGGGGCTGTCTTGGTGCCCGTTGGGGCCACCTTGGGGCTGTTTCGGAGGCCTCTTGGGCGGTCTTGGGGCGATCTTGGGGGCCTATTGGGCTGTCTTGGAGCGTCGGGAAGCGGAAAAGGCGAGACCCAAAGAAACCTTCCAGAACCTACGGAAAAAAAACAACCATCTTTGCTTCTTGGGGCCCTCTAGGGAAGCCTCTTGGACGCCTCTTGCGGCGTCTTGAAGGCGTCTTGGGCCATATTGGGACTATCTCGGGCGTCGTGGAGCGATCTTTGTGCGTCTCGGGGCCCTCTTAGACGATCTTTGGGGCCTCCTGGGGCCGTCTTGGAGGCCTCTTGGGCCATCTTGAGGCCTCTTCGAGGCGCCGGGGAGGGGGTCTAGGGTTCGTTTGCGGGTGCCCGGGGGGGGTGAAGGTGACATGCCGGGTTTTCCTTGCAATTTCATAGGTAGAAGGAATATATATATATATATATATATATCTCTCTCTCTCTCTCTCTCTCTCTCTCTTTATATGTATATATATATACACACACGTAATACCCCGCAGATGCGGATCAGAGAGAGGGGGCGGTGGGGACGTCGGCAAGTTGCGAGACTCCGGAAAAGCCCGCCGCAGGCGCCACCAAATTTTCACAAATTCTACAACGAGCCCGCCGCAAGCGCCGACTTCCTTGTTAAAGCAATGTGGGTAGGTCGCGGGTGGGTCGCAACTGGGTCGCGGGTGCGTCGCAACTGGATCGCGGGTGGGTCGCGGATGGGTCGCGGGTGGGTCGCGGGGTGGGTCGCGGGTGGGTCGCAAGTGGGTCGCGGGTGGGTCGCGGGTGGGTCGCGGATGGCTCGCGGGGTGGGTCGCGGGGTGGTCGCAGGGTGGGTCACGGGTGGGTCGCGGGTGGGTCGCGGGTGGGTCGCGGGTGGGTCGCGGATGGGTCACGGGTTGGGTCGCGGATGGGTCGCGGGGTGGGTCGCGGGTGGGTCGCGGGGTGGGTCGCGGGGTGAGTTACGGGGTGGGTCGCGGGGTGGGTCGCGGGTGGGTCGCGGGTGTGACGACGACAACAAACGAGCAAACAAACAAGAACAACGCAACAAACATAATCCTCACCACGGATCCCCACTTCAGCCACGCACCCAGGGATAATGAATGACCGCTCGGCCCCATCACTCTGATCATCTATAATTCCCCAATCAAAGCTTACCTCTGTAGGGGTCCTAGCGGATTCATATGGTTAAGTGAGATGGGGCGCCGATTTGGTGGCCGGTGGCCGGGTGCCTGGGTGCCCGGGTGCCCGTGGGTGCCTGGTGCCCCAGGATTTTGGTGGCCCGTGGCCGGGTGCCCGGGTGCACGTGGGTGCCCGGGTGCCCGGGTGCTCGGGGGTGCCCAGAGGTGCCTGGGGGTGCCCAGGTGCCCTATAGCCATAAAGCCTTACAGCCTTATATCTCTAGAGCCCAATAGCCCAATAGCCCATATAGCCCATATAGCCTTAAAGTCCAATAGCCCTAATTATAACTATAGCTCTATGGCCCTATAGCCCCAGAGCCCCATAGCTCTAGAGCCCTATAGCCCTATAGCCCTATGGGTCTATAGCCCTATAGCCCTGTAGCTCTATAGCCTTATAGCCCTATAGCCCTATAGCCCAAAAGCCAAATAGCCCAGTAGCCCTCTAGCCCTACACCCGTATAGCCCATATAGCCCTTTGGCCCCATAGCCCTGTAGTTCTATAGTCCTATAGCCCCATAGCCCCAACCAAAATCTGATTGGGGGTTTTCTCCGGTATCATATGTATATTATACACACACGCTTGTGTAATGCATAAAAACATAAGGAAAACAAGTGGAGGATGGGGAGGAGGAGAAGAAAGAGAAGGAAAGGGAGGAGGACGAGGAGGAGGAGAAAGGGGAAAAGAGAGGTAACATGGGGCGGAGAAGGAGGGAGAAGAGGAGAGAAGAGATGAGGAGAGAGGAGGAGCAGGAGGAGAAGGGGATGAGGCGAAGGGAAAAGCAATACAGGGGGTCGGGTGTACGCCTGGGCCGTTATCACGTCATTGGCGTGCTTGTACTTCTCGGTGATGGCCCCGATGGGCAGCACCAGCAAGACGCCCTCGGCAAGAGCGTGGGGAGCGGCCCGTCGGTGCCTCTAAGACGGGGGCCCCCTCTGACAGCCAAAGTCCCGTCAGAAAGGCTCCAGAATGATACCCGCAACCTCCGCAGACGCGGATACGAATGATACGGGGTTGCCCTGGACTGGAACATCTCGAGCCTCGACAAAGGCACGCCGCGTGCGACGATTTGCTCAAACAGTGCGTGTCTGCGCAAGCCAGGACCGGCGCCACGGTTGGGATTCCAGCGACAGGCTCCGTGCCGCGGGCCCCACGGGCCCTGGGGCCCCCACCCCCCACCCCCAAGTTTCCGGCCAGGCCTGAAAGTTTCTGCGCTTGGCCTCGCCAGCACCGCCACCATCTGTCCATTCCCGCGGGCAGCTGTACCAGGAAAAAACTCGCGCTTCGTCGAGGGCGCAATCGAGTTGATGTACAGACAAGGGTTCACTTTGACGCGCGGTCTCGATCTTCCAGAAGCCCAGCAGCGCCTGACACCCACCGACATAAAGTTTATGGAGTACCAAGATGTAGCCTGTAGCTGCATGCGAAGACATAGCCCTCATGTTTCCTCCTCCCCCTCCTCCTCCTCCTCCTCCTCCTCCTCCTCCTCCTCCTCCTCCTCCTCTTTCTCTTCATCTAGAGGCCTCCCAGGTGGGGTCGGAGCACATGGGGTCGGAGGATCGCGCCGTATCGGCAAGCGCAGTCGGCGCGTCGGCGCGTCGGCGCGGATGAAATCGGGTTCCACATTGCATCGCCGATGCATCAGCGATGCGGCGCGATCCTCCGATCGTACTCTGACCCCATCTGGGATGCCTAGGTCCTCCCATTTCCCCTCTCCACCAGCCACGCGCCTTGAAAATGCCAAGGAAGAGGATGACGACCTCGCTGAGCATCTGGGTCGTCCGGCCGTTGGCGTCCGGAAGGCTCGCGGGCCCACGGGGGCACGCTCCCGTTTCCCCCTCCCCATCCTGCTCCTTGTCCAGTTCCTCCTCTCCCGTCTTGTTCCTTCCCCCTCTCCCCCTTCTCTCCATTCGCCCCCTCGCCCCCCCCCCTGCCCCTCATCCTCAGCATCCCCTCCCCCCTCTTCGTCATCATCCCCCCTCCCCCTCCCTCCCCAATTCTTTTTCCTGATATATAACTCCTCCCCGTCGCGCCCCCAAACGTGTTGGTAGTGCCGAACGTTTCGCTCAACATTTGATCATCATTGATGTTATTGAAGCCTGAAGTGCGCAACTGCTTAAATAATGGAGGGCAGATTTCAAAACGCAGTGCTCATGAAAACGCCGCACATACTTATCTTAAAACTTTCACTACATTCAAGGAAGGATGACATATTATTTTCGAAATATGATTTTCCCCTGATCACCTCGCGCATTCGTCGTGCAAATGTACAACAGCTTCAAGGACGAAGGGCTGGTGGTATTCAAAGTGTTGTTCTCGCCGTAGCGCCGCGCACATTCATCGTAAAACTTTGCATCCTATTCAACAACTTCATAGATGGATAGGCCTCTTTTTCAACGTGTGGTTCTCGCCTTGGCGTCCCGCACACACATGCAGACACTTCGTGGACGTGTCCAGCTTTTTTGAATTCTCGTAGGACTGGAGTCGTAGGAATGGTGTTATGACGCAATTTCGGATTGCCAGGACGCACCAGTCACGTTAATCGCGGCGTTGACGTCCCACGTTTGGTGTTATGGCACGATTCCAGATCGTTGCCACATTTTACCCAGAAGAAGCGATGGATGATGAAGTGTCTCGGAAGTCCCCTCACCCTCGTACTTCTCTTTCTAAACCCACATTTCTTCTTCTACTTCCCTCGGCGCGCCCTCGGGGCCGTCGAGTCTCTTGGGCTCAAGGCACCACGATCTAGGGCCCAGGGGGTGGCCAGCCCCTTGGCTGGCTCGCCGAGCTGGCACCTCCGATCTGCCGACTCAAGGCTCTCCGACTCATACTTTTCTTCTCAAGCTGCCGCCTCATCTTCGCGAAGAAGGCGCGGGCGGCCGGGGCCCATCAGGCCCACCAGCCCCGAGAACTTATCAAGCTTATCCTTGGCCATGGGCTTCGCCAGTATGTCGCTCTCAACGTCGCCAGCGCATCTCGACGTGCTTCATTTTGCCGGGGCCAATCCTCTTCGCGACGCGCAACTCACGGCTGCTCTCACTAGGAAGCGCAGGTGCGATCCACTCCCCGCTCGCCCTGCAGGGCCAGCTCCCGAGCCTAGGGCGCGCAGCTCGCCGTCGGCCGTACTCAGGGCTGTGCCACCCTGGCGTCGCGTCGCGCACCGTGCACTCGCGGTACTTCAGCGCGCCGCCACTGTCCGAGATCTGGTCGCCCATGTCGTCGCCCCCACCCGCGTCAACCCTCCGCGGGGCGATCTGGTTGCACTGCTTGCTGGGGGTGGCCTTCGTCGCCATCTCCCTGGCCCCTGCCAAGTATCTCGCCATGCTGAGCGGGCGCTGCAACGCCGCGGATGAGCACTCACACTCCGCGCTGCATGTAAGATCGATGGCTCGATCGTTGCGATGGTCTGCCGACGCGCGTCCTGCCCGCCCCGTGGCCCCTCGCGCTGAGATGCGCGCAGTCGCCCTTTCTGCGCGATCACTGTCTTCGTCTCCTGCAGCATCGCAGGATTCGTTTCTCCAGCCCGAGCTCCATCGGCGCATCGTTGATCAGGCCGGTCTCGCCCGCGGTGGCGAAGCCGCCCTGGACCTGGCGCGCCCGCGTGCCCAGGAAGGTCGCCTCGTCGCCCTCGCCGCGCAGCTTCGCCGCATCTGAGAGGTTCAGATTCTCGCCGTTCTACAGGGAGGCTGGTAACACAAGAGGCTGGAATCATAATCGACAAAGAGGTTAGACTAGGTAAAATGGCATCGGCCTACGCCCGCGCGAAATAAAAACAGAAGCGGGCCAAAGCCCCGAAGAAAATAAAACGGCGCGCCCGCCATGCTCTTGCAAGGCCCCGAGCCGGCCCGAACCCAACGCCACGCCGACGGAGGTGGCAAGCAGCCCCCAGTCGAGCCAAAAAAAAAAAAAAAAAACGGCCCGCAGCGAATAAACAAAAAGCGCCGGCGGTGGCCTGGGGGGGGCGGGGGCGAGCCAAACAACTGGAATCAATGGATTGGCCACCCAAAATAAGCACGAATATTTTAGCGCGGCGACGGGGCGCCCCGCCAAAGCCGCAAATGACAAACACAAAAGCAGGCCCGCAGCGAATAAACAAAAAGCGTCGGCGGTGGCCCGGGGAGGGCGGGGGCGAGCCGAACGACTGGAATCAATGGATCGGCCACCCAAAGCAAACGCAAAGATTTCAGCGCGGCGACGGGACTCCCCGCCAAAGCCGCGAATGACAAACACAAAAGCAGGCCCGCAGCGAAAAAACAACAAGCGTTGGCGGCGGCCTGGGAGGGGCGGGGGCGAGCCAAACAAATTGGAATCAATGGATCGGCCACCCAAAATAAACACCGAGATTTTAGCGCGGCGACGGGGCGCCCCGTCAACGCCGCAAATGACAAACACAAAAGCAGGCCCGCAGCGAATGAACAAAAGCGTGGGCGGTGGCCTGGGAGGGGCGGGGGCGAGCGAAACAACTGGAATCTATGCATCGGCCACCCAAAATACGGCCGGACCGAGGACACAAGAACATCCTGCAAGAACACGAGCCCTTCCGCCAGCCAAAACACCCAATCATCAAGAACATGCAAGGGCGGTTGCCGTCGCACCACCATCATCAACGAGCGCGCAATTGCCGGGGCCAGCGCCTGGACATCGAGGCCAAAGAACAGGGGGGGGGGCCGTGCCGCAGACGCGCGAGTCCCGCGGCGCACTCCATCGGCTCTGGCAGCGGACTGCAGCGCTACGCCCTGGCACGCGCAAATAGATCCAAGCTCTCACCCTTGCCCCAGCACAAGAAGCCGCGCGTTGCCTCGCAAGCCCGCCCTGGACCCAAGCTTCCAGCCGCGTAGCGAAGCCCCCCCCCCCCTCCCCCAACCCTCAGCCCACCCGCCCCGAACTCTTCCCATAGGAAACTCCAGGCCCACCAAGCCCGTGGCCGACCCGCGGCCTGCGCGTGGCCCGCGACGCTTCCTCATGGCCTACCCATGGGCCGCACGTGGTCCGCCCATGGCGTGTTCAAAGCTCGCGCATGGCCTGCGCATGGCCCATCCATGGGCGCCTCAGGGGCTACCGAAGGCCTTCCAAATGGATCCGCTGAGCTTACCCATTGCTTCACTCACGACCTACCCGTGGCCCGCGCATTGTCTGCCTCTGACGCGTACACGGCCTGATCATGGCCAGCCCGAGGGCTTCTCCAGACAGCCCGAACACTACCCCTCGTTTACACGTGATCTACCCACAGCCCACACTTGGCCCACAGCTCTTCGGCCCAATGGGCAGTTAATGGCATCCCCACGGCATGTTTGTCGGCTCCATACTTGGCCTGCCCAATGGCGCGCCTGCGCCCCCCCCCCCCCCCCCCTCCCCACGCCGCGCGCGTGCGCCGACCAGGCGTTCATGATGGTTAGGCAAGGCTGGCCAAGACACAGCAGGACTCTGCATGGGCTCACAAGTGCCCAACAGAATCGCGCGCGCCCAGGGGAAGCCTAGCGGGACCTACCAAGGACGAGCCGCATGCAACGCGACTTCTCTTGATGCCTTCGCAGCGACTGGCCGTTTTTGCCCCCGCGGGGCCGAGCGAGGCGCGGCGTGGCCCAGAAGACGCCAGCAAGAAGAAGCGGGAACAAATTGGGCGCGGCTGCAGAGATGGTCTTCCCAAAACCTACGTGCGCCGTAACCGCGCGCTGCCTGCGCCTTGCCTGTGCATTGCGCATGGACAATCCAGAACATGCGCTTGGCTCAGCCACGGCCTACCCTAGGCCGACCTATGACCGTGCACATTGCCTACCCATGGTCTGCCAATGACATACCAATGGCCTACCTATGGCCGTGCGTGCATCGCAACAGTTATTTACGCACGCAAGCTGCGCGCGCATCCCAACATATATTTCTGCATGACAGCAGCGCGCGCATCACAACAGATGCTTATGTATGCCTGCTGTTCGCACATCGCAACGGCTATTTCTGCACGCCTGCTGCGCGTGCATCGCAACCGCTACTTCTGCATGCCAGCTGTGCGTATATCGCAACAGCGACTTCTGCACGCCAGCTGCTCTTGCATCGCAACTGCTACTTCTGCATGCCAACTGCGTGTATCCCAACAGCTCTGCCTGCGCGCGACTTCTGCATGCCAGCTGCGCGTGTCTCGCAACCGCTGCTTCTGCGTGCCAGCCGCGCGCGAATCGCAACAGCTGCTTCTGCATGCCAGCGGTTCGTGAATCGCAACAGCAATTTCTGCATGCCAGATGTTCGTGCACCACAAGCGCTATTTCTGCATGCCTGCTGACCGTGCGTCGCAACAAATAGTTTTGCATGCCAGCTGTTCGTGTATCGCAACAGCCATATCTGCCTGCCAAATGCGCGTGTTTCGCGACAACTGTATATGCATGCTAGCTGATCGTGTATCGCAACGTGTAGTTATGCATGCCAGCTGCTCGTGTATCGCAACACCTACCTGTATGCCAGCTGTGTGTGTACCGCAAAAGGTAGTTCTGCATGCCAGCCGTTCGTGTACCGTAACAGCTGCTTCTGCATGCCAGCAGCTCGCGTATCACAGATGCTATTTCTGCATAACAGAACTTCGTGTATCGCAACAGCTGATTCTGACTACTTATGCATACCATCTGCGCGTGAATCGCAACAGCGACTTCTGCATGCCAGATGTTCGTGCATCAAACCAGGTACGTAGTTCTGCATGCCAGCCGCGCTTGCATCGCAACCGCTACTGCTGCATGCCAGCTGCTCGCGTCTCACAACGGCGAATTCTGCATGCCAGGTGCGCGTGTATCGCAACAGTATCTCTGCATGCCAGCTGT